GAGAGAGAGAGAGAGAGAGAGAGAGACAACGACAGAGAGAGAGAGAGAGAAAGAGAGAGAGGGAGAGAGAGAAAGAAAGAGAGAGTGGGTGTGTGTGTATGTTTCTTTGTTGGTTTGTGTGTGTGTGTTTTACGTCCCTCTTGACTCACTAGAGCTCACAGTAGTTGAGCCTGTTGGGGACCAACCCACAGGAAAAAGACCGAGACACTGGATACAAATTCTCTCTACTACTCGGGAATCGAAATGGAGTCTTCTCTTCGTGAAACAGAAAAACAATTCTAACCGGTACACTAACAGGCCTCGGTGCTTTCTTTGTAAATTAACGCCATACATTAAATTATGTTAGTTGTATATAAAATATTGGCACTGATAATTGGATCGAAGGTTGAAGGTCATCACTGGGAGGCGCTTTTAAAGCGCTTGCGTAAAAATGTATAGGGTCATATTGCGCTTTGCAGCATTGTAAGGTTATTAAAGAGGTGGAATCTCCAAATTTAACATTCACGTCCGATAGCACCAAGTCAAATGTGACAATTATTATATAATGCCGTTTCCAAGGACACAACGTCTGACCGAGCGGCGCCTTGTACCAGCTGAACCCGAAATCTGACGATTACGAATCCGGCAGCCTGAGTTCTTGACAGACAACTGACACTACCGCACTTCATCTCTGGGTTTCACACCGGTATGTTTTACTCCTTCCCTGCACCAGATCACCGTTTTTGTTTCAATCTTGTCTCTTCCTCTAATACACAACAGTGGGGCTTTTGTACTCCCAAAGCAGTGCTTTACCAACAGTATTGCGTTTTTGTTGTTGTTGTTGAGTAAAGGGAATCACATGGACACAGATAATTGAGTAATGGTCAATTAGTGAGGGAAAAAGTAAGATATACAGACAGGAACAACAGAGGGAAGATAAAGAAGCAGGACCTACCAATTAGTGGCGTCCTCCAACCACCCACCGAAAGAGCTGTAGATCCCAACAAGCTAAAATGTTATGAAAGGAGGGGGCTCTATCAAAACCTTGTTGAATTCCCTTTATTTTGAGAGTAACACTACAATGAGAAGAAAGAGGATGGTTAAGGACGATACATGCTTGACTCTAATGGAGAAAACTACAATGCAGTACCCACCAAAAACTACGACAGACTTTTCAAAACCCAAGTAACGCGTACACCAGTCTCGATTAGTGTTAGTAAGAGTTTTACTGCACTTGCAACACAATTAGGTCAATTTACTCAACAATAACAACAAAAACGCAATACTGTTGGTAAAGCACTGCTTTGGGAGTACAAAAGCCCCACTGTTGTGTATTAGAGGAAGAGACAAGATTGAAACAAAAACGGTGATCTGGTGCAGGGAAGGAGTAAAACATACCGGTGTGAAACCCAGAGATGAAGTGCGGTAGTGTCAGTTGTCTGTCATGAATTCAGGCCGCTGGATTCGTAATCGTCAGATTTCGGATTCAGCTGGTACAAGGCGCCGCTCAATCAGACGTTGTGTCCTTGGAAACGGCATTATATAATAATTGTCACATTTGACTTGGTGCTATCAGATGTGAATGTTAAATTTGGAGATTCCACCTCTTTAATAACCTTACAATGCTGCAAAGCGCAATATGATCCTATACATTTTACGCAAGCGCTTTAAAAGCGCCTCCTAGTGATGACCTTCAACCTTCAATCCAATTATCAGTGCCAATATTTTATATACAACTAACATAATTTAATGTATGGCGTTTATTTACAGAGAAAGCACCGAGGCCTGTTAGTGTACCGGTTAGAATTGTTTTTCTGTTTCACGAAGAGAAGACTCCATTTCGATTCCCGAGTAGTAGAGAGAATTTGTATCCAGTGTCTCGGTCTTTTTCCTGTGGGTTGGTCCCCAACAGGCTCAACTACTGTGAGCTCTAGTGTGTCAAGAGGGACGTAAAACACACACACACACAAACCAACAAAGAAACATACACACACACCCACTCTCTCTTTCTTTCTCTCTCTCCCTCTCTCTCTTTCTCTCTCTCTCTCTCTGTCGTTGTCTCTCTCTCTCTCTCTCTCTCTCTCTCTCTCTCTCTCTCTCTCTCTCTCTCCCTCCGGTCCGTTCGAAGATGAACGTTACGCCATTATAATAATATAATTCAATTGATGAACATTTCACATTGTGTTCCGCTCCGTGAGTAGAGAGTCTATTCTCAAATCTAACAAAGACGCCAGAGAAGGCCGAAACAAGGACTGCTACAAGACAACCAACAGTTTATAATAAATTGCTTTCGACCTTAAAAACGAGGGTGGTTGGAGGCGCCACTGGTAGGTCCTACCTCTTTACTTTCCCTCTGTTGTTTTGTCTGTCACACTTTTTCCGCTGTCAATGGCCAGATATCCGATTATACCATGCTGAAATGAGGAAAATTCCTGTAAAAGTCAGGTTTGAGTCTCGAGCATCCGAACTCGGAACCTCACGATGGCGAGTCTGGTAACCTTACCACTAGACTACTGATGCTGTGACGACACATTTCTGTGTGATGGGTGCTTTGACAAAAAAAAGAAGTTTGACAGGTACGATCTCGCTCTCGTAGATCTTTAATAGATGCCAAATTGTTTAATGGCTCTGGTTTCTCAGAATAATTTCCTCACGCAAAATATCAAACGTTGGTGCTTGGCGGGTGTTCTGTAGTTTGCTCCTTCTTCCCGATCAAATATATTTTTCTTTTCTTTTTTTCTTGGTAAGTGTTTTACGGCGCTCGAACTGTATAACGTCATATGAGCGCGTGGAACGTATTATCCTTTTTCAGTTGGTAGGAAATTTTGAATTTTGCCCTGGTGGCGGCAGAAGTCTACACTTATTTCGATTTTTTTACCACCAACGGATCTTTAACGTTCGCAACTTGCACAGGGGACTTCAGAGATTTTTTTGCCCTTGTGCGAGAAGGCTAGGTGTAGATCTTTACTACCAGACGATGAGGGGTATGGCTAAAGACAGCAGAGAGAAGGAGCCAAGGTGTAGCAGTAGAAAGATTGCAGAAACAGTCAGCCGTACAATAAACGAGGAGGGGGCACAGAAGTTGACGGGGTGGGGGCAGAAAATGCACACGAAAGTAGACGACAGAACATTGCTAGACAGCAGGAATGGAGGTGAAAGGAGACAATTTTAGAGAAGAAAACTTTTCGGTCTCTACCCTGATTCAAACCCGGGACCTTTGAATGAAAGAAAGGTGAACACCTTAACCTTTAGGCCATGACAACCCCCATCAAACAGTAGTGTCCGTATATTTCCTCTTTATTGATTATTGTCCCCGTAGCTCTCTTGGAACAAATCTAACATTTGGCACTTATGTGACCTTCGTGTGTTGACAGTGCGGTAAAACATAACATAACAAATTAAAACAAAATGGAACTTAAAATGTATTGAAAACTGTTCGTGAAACGAACTCTTTTCACGACGATCCAATAACAATATTAATTGTTTCTATAAATATGCTCCGAACCACACAACGGGTGGTTTGGAGAGAGCCACTGAAAGGCAGACCCTCCATAGACGGCACACGGCACGCGACACACAGCACATGGCACGCGTGCGAAATAAAATTAAACACAACTATTTAGAGTTGCACACTCCACTGACGGCACGACACAGCCACGACAAAGCGTTGCGTGCCTTGCTTTGCTGCATTGCTCGTTTTTTGTGTCGTGGGCTGCCTAAATGGATGACTACAAGAAAGAAATTATTGAACTTGGTGAGAGACCGACCGCTTCTTTGAGGACCCCCAAAACCCGACTGGTTCCCGATAATTACAACCAATGGGTTGTAGACGAGAAAACACTAGGTTCTTCAGTTCATCATGCGTTCTGTATGACATTCTTAGGTAGTTGAAGAACAATGTCTCATCTCTACGTCTCATCAAGGAGCTGAAAGTTCGATGAAACTCTCCTCTACTAGATCTACTCCTCAATAGAAAATGTTCTCTGCACCACATGATCCGCTTTTTCCTCTTCTTTTTCCGATTATTTAGAATTGCTAACATGATCTGGGTATCTTCATCGGACGAATCCATGGTTGTGATGTGTGTGTTGTGTTGTGATGTCGTGCTATGGCCTATGGAGGGAGGGGTATTAGCCTGTGGCACGGCACGTGACGACAAGTCATGTGCCGCGTGCCGTGTGCGTCTATGGAGGGTCCGCCTTAGGTTCTACTGTTTGACTTTCTCTATGTTGTTTCTGTCTGTCTGCTTGTTTGTTTGCCCAATCCCAGCACTAAATGACCATTATTGTGTCGGCGATGAGCTTCTCTTTACTTTGAAAAAAAACAACAACAGTGTTTCACGCAGTTTTCCCCTTTATAATCTCTATATATCATATTTGTGAAAGTTCGTCACTTACGCCGCCTAAAACTTCTGAACCACTAAACTTTTGAATTTGACAAAATTTATGGTGGTTCAGAATCATTTACCCCCCCGGGGCAGTGCCACTGACTGTAGTGTCTTTAGGCCATTCCCAAAAAAGGGGGGGGGGGGGGGCATTTCTCGTTCAAGAACAGTAGAATTGTAAATGCGCTGACTCGTGTCACGCTCATAACGGTGCCTGACCTACAACAGGGAACTGCTGCTTTTTCTTTCCTAATCCTTACTATTGTCATTATCCTCAACTTCTTTTGTATGTTTGCCGCTCTCTTGTGACCTGCTATTTTGGGGTGCCTTGATAGTCGAAGCAGACCTTGTGCTGTTGAAGCTAGAGAGGTGAGCAGAATAAGTCTGATTCCCTGTAAAGACTTCTCTGTTGACGCCCACCCCTTGGCGCTCATGTGACCGTATGCAGTTGCGAGTGCTGCAAAATCCTCTACTATAAAAAAATCAGAATCATTTAAAGGGTGCACAGTTTTGTTGATGAACCTGAAATCACTGTAGTTTAATTTTCAGATTTCTTTAGTTTCGTTTAGATCTCGTCTTGGGAAAGTTCGTCTTTTAAGACACCATAGTAAACAAGTAGTTTCCGTTCAGTACCGTGCAAACTGTTTCCACACATTTGAAATTCTGTAATGCACAACCACGAAAGCGGAATAGAAGATCAATCTACACATCTAGTATATAGTTGACGACTTGGAAACACATAATGTGTCCCTTTCCCCTTATAACTGCGAGAGCTACAAAGTTGAAAGTTGGCAATTACCTGCAAAAAGATAGATAGGTCCTGAATTTTTATTTATTCATTTCCTTAATTAGACAAATATATTTCACAAAAAGTTCCGGTCCTTCTTTGGCATTTATGATTTTTCCACTGAGAAACGAAACAAATCTGCGTAGCTGTCCTTCACTATGGAAGTGCCTGAAGTGATATTTCGCGAGGCGCAATTTGTTTAGAGAGTATACATCTAGACCTTCTAATTTTTTGTATCTCTCAAGATTTATTGCTCCATTCCAGTACACTGTAAATATGTGAGGCAGCGTGGTGGAATCAGGCTCTCGTCAAATTAATCAAAGTCAAGAAACTTGCATTTTCCTGCAGCTTTGTGAATTTTTATCAAATTTTAGTTTTTTGGCTCAACGCGTTATATAACCATTACAGAACTCATTACTGTGAGGATTTGTCTGAAAACCGTTGATTAAAGGAAGAAAAAATGTATATTTTCAGTTACCATAGCCTCTTAAGCTAAAGAAATAACTAATCTTTGGCGGCCATTTTTTCATTAAATTTACCTCTGAAAACAGGTGACCCTACCTCCTTCATTCGCAAATATCTCCACTTGTATTCAAGATAAATGGATATTTTTTTTCCATCCAAATAAAGACAAGTGAACAAGCTTTAAGATGATACCAATAACTCTACACGCCCAAAAATTGACGAGAGCCTGATTCCTCCACGCTGCGTCACATATAGTAGGCAAATGACTTTCAGTTGATGATAATGCACTGATCATTCCTTTCATTGAAAGGGGGGGCAGCTAGTTTAATATATTACTCACATCCAAGTTTCAAGGGAAGAAACACGTGACTTTAAAAAAAGAAATTAGGGCGAAAGTAAAGACAAGTAGAACAAGTGAGACTAGAATTGTTTGGAAGACCAGGGAGGACAAAAAAACCAACAACCAACCACTAGACAAAGTTTTGGTTGTAAAATGTTTAATGTTTTACGACCCTACCGACACCGTTTGGGTTTGTGTCGTTCGCTTTACAGACTGTTCCATTAGTCCAAGAGGTTGCTTATCGCTTTCAGCAGTTCCCTCTGTTCCTCGTCCTTGTTGGAGGTGAGCAGACTGACGCCAGAACTCCGCTTGCCCTTTTCCAAGAGACGTTGGCGTAAGTCAGCGAGATACCTTTGCCTTTCTCGGATTTGCTCTGTAAGCAGCATGTCTGTGATAGCCTTCAAGTCCTGGTTGATGGAGATTCGTTTCGAGATTCCAGACTCGAGTGACTCACCAAGACTCGAAAGCGAAGGCGTTAGGACAGACCGTTTTCTCCTTGAGTGGCTTTCCGTTTCAGGATTTTGTCCTTCCGACTGCTCCATTTCCCCTGCAGCTCTTTTGCGTAAGGAGTAGAAGCGTAGTCTCGGAGCCCTCAGATCACGTTGATAAACAGCGCCGTCTTCATTAGAAAGATCGAAAGGAGAGTTTTCATCTGCTGACATAGAAACTGCGTTGGTCGGGAACCGCCGAAAGTTACCTTCATCTTGATCTCTCCTGTCGAATCGGAGTCTCCTTTTGTGGAACCGTAATCTCCTTTTCTCGTTGCTAAATACGTCCTCGCCATTATCGTCATAATCTCGCGAGCTTTTGTCGAACGCTTCGCGGAGAGCCGAGCGGTAGCCATTCTGTTCATACATACTGACCACGTTGTCGTCGGGGGAAAGTACCACGAAAGGTGATGACGATTTTACTGCTCTGTTGGTGGCGAAGTTTTTCCCGTGTACAGAGGCAGATTGTGAACTTACGCACAGAGAGGAGAGGGTGAGGCACAGAATGAGAGACATTGTGTTTGTCGGCCGGTTATTGGGGCGCTTCATTACGTAGGCTTTGGCTTGTTGGAAATTTCTATTCTGAGGGCTGTGGAAACGTTGACGATAAAAGGAATTTGACGACTTCACCGAAACCAAGTTCCTTGAAATATGTTCAATCTGTGAAAGAGAAAAGTAAAACAAATTACATGTTTGTCTAATTTGAGAAGGGAATACCAGGGAAAGTCTTAAATCATCATACAACATTCTTTCACCACAGCTATGTTGTCTTCGGGCAAACAAAAGAAAACCAGCCCAAGAAAACATAAAAACAAAACAAACAAAAAAACGTTTGTGCTGTATCTTCAAAACAAGGCTTCAACGTTTGTGGCGGAGTTCTGGGCACTTCGCTGTCGCAGACAGGAGACCAACACGCCGATTAAATAATCGAAGTGTTGATAGAGGCGTTAAACCTATACCATTTCACAGGAGACCGGAGTTTATATCCAAAGTGGGGACTTTTTATCGAGTATTACAGTCTTTCTGCTGGGATATTGCACCACCCCTTTCCACCCAGGTTCCTCTCGACAAGCTGGGTCCGAAACCTGCCTTCTAAATAATCTAAATTGTGTTTAATGGGAGCGTAAATACACCAACATTTAAATTTCTTTAAATATCAATCAAATCAAACAAAGCTGATTAAATATCTAAGAGACGGGTTACTTTGAGCTTTATTCTAAGGGAGATTGCACGGAACTCCACCCACAGTGGAACAGACGAACCACATGGAAATATCTCCTACGACGATAGTACTTTTGCCAGGCATTTGGTGTACAAAACGATTTGTCTAGACTTGTTACACAACATACTTCAGTTTGAAATTGGCTTTCCCGTCAACGAGCACTTTTTGAAAAAGAAATAAAATTTCAGTGGAATGGTTCCAGGGGTGAAGGTGAAGACGAGGGTGTAGGGGTTAGAAGTAAGGAGGGCAGGCGATAAAAGAACATCGATCCTGAAATTTGTTTTTATGTAGTGAGGTAGGTGTAGAATAACAAGAAAGCTGCGTGAACTCTACCGGATAATTACTACTCGACAATCGTATAGTATAGATAGTGCTTCAATTAAAATTGAACTGTACACAGAAACTCTGTTCTACCCGAATGTTGGCCTTTACCTTACCCAGCGTGTGCGGTAGGAAAGGAAATCACGTTAGAAGGCTATTTTCTTTTTCTTTGAAGCCAAATTTGTTAGGCATTGGTAAATCCACGGGAAACCAGAGAAGGGGCTAACTGTTTTTGTACGTTAATTGTGTGTCGCACATTTTTGTTTTGTTGAAATTGTATTAACGCCAGAGTGTTTAACGGAGGCAGATCTAGTGCCACTATGGACACACGCAAAGAGAAAAAAGAGTATGGGAGAGAGACGGAAAGAGAGAGAGAGAGAGAGGGAGAGAGAGAGAGAGAGAGAGAGAGAAAGAAAGAAAGAGAGAGAGAGAAGGGGGAGATTGACAGGCAGACAGAGACAGAGAGAGACAGAGAGACTGAAAAGGGAGGGGTGGGGGGAGGGAAAGGGAGTCAATGCCTATGGACATATTATTGTTTTAAGTTCGCTTGTGTGAGTGAGTTCTGGGCCCTACTTTGTTGGACGTGTGTCATTGAGCATTATTGTATTGAGTACATTTCTATCTGTGTTAATCGTTGATTTTTGAACGTTGATGGTATTGTATATCTAACCATAATTTTATTCGTGAATTAATAAAGTTTATCTTAAAAATATCATCATATCTTAACGATGGTTTCATTCGCGTTCAACTGTATACTATTTTTACTATCACAAAACATGTCGATTTTCACATTAATAAGCGTTCATATGTAACAGTGTGCATAAATGAAAAGAGCTTATTTTGTGTTGATTCTGAATTTTTGTATGCTGCTGTTCTGGTACATTCTGCTAGAATGTCCATTGCAAATCAATAATTTATATTACATGTATATTACCTTACGTCAGTGTCTAAGTTTTTAGAAGGTGCAGATAGCTTTTCTTTTTGTTCACATTTTCTTAGAGTAAACAGAAGCACATCGACAAAATAAGAGCCATTAAGTGCTGGGTAAAAGTCAGACGAACAGACAAAAACTTCCCCAAAAGAGTAAAGAAATAGGAGCTATCACTGGCGCCTCCCCCCCCCCCACCACCACCCCCCCCACCACCCCCCCACCACCCCCCCACCCCTAGCATATTTTTTCTCGTTAAAAAAGAGGGAAAATATAATGTATGCCTGTAATGATGAAATCAATGTGCTGTTGCGTAGCTCGGCCTTTGAACGGCGGTGTATTTCTCAGAGAATGGGCACATTTCCAATTTTAGAAATGGAAATACGTCAACTGGAATGGGATTCAAGTCCTGCAACAAACCCCACTTTGGCGCTCTCGTGGTTTTGAGGTACGATGTTCTTCTTTCATTCAATAGGTCCTGTATTCGAAACCTCAGAGCAACAGAACACTTTTTCTCTAAACGTTGTCTCCTCCCACCCCATTTTCTGCTCTCTAACGATGTTCTGTCATCTGCTTTCGTCTCACCCACTCTCCATGCCACCTCCTCTGGGCTCCTGACTCTTTCTGCTGCATTTCTACTGCTACTCCTTGGCTCCTTCTTACTGCAGTCTTTCACCCACACCCCTGATATTAGGGTAGGTAAGAACTAACACCTAGCCTTCTTGGATACAGAAATTCAAAAATATAGGAGATTCCGTGCGTTCCGCACGTCAAAGATCTCTTGGTGATCCAAAATCGTTGAGAGTAGGCCACACCGGGGAAAATTCTAAATTATTTCCTACCAAGCTAAAAATGCTTGAAGTGACCCGCGCGGTCATATGACTTTATGCAGTTGAGGCACTGATCTAGTTCTTTTGATCCTGTTCTAGCCTCCAGTTTCTTTGAATTCCTTCTAGTAGTCTGAGAGAAATCAGTATGCCAGCGTTAAGGGTTCAGTAATTATTCCTCATTCATGCAATTAAATCCAACGGTGTCTCCGTTCTTCAACAATCCACTCACATGCATGCCTCGGCCGTAACTATAACGCGCCATTTTCTGGAAGGACAACTCAGTAGGGAAGGGACGCAACTGCGGAAATTAATCAAGGGAGACAAGCGTTCTTGGCGACGCCCACATACCCAACGAGATTGCGAGGAAAAGCTTCCATCCGCATTAGGGCATTATAGATGTAGATTGACCCATTTTACGCTGAGCCCGCAAGTTTCCCTCAATTTCCCCTCCCGCCCAACACCCCATTCACCCTTCCACCCCACCCCATCCCCTACTTACTT